CAGAAACTGTGCCGTACGCGAGCAGAGCTGACACAGCTGGGTGATACTTCACCACAGTCACGCAATTCTTCTCCATAATATCAAGGGTATGGGTCAATTTACTTTCAAAGTTCTTCATGGTATATACTTTGATCTGACCTTGGTGTTCGCACCAAGTCTCATGATACTTCTCACCTATGGAGACAGCTAGTGTATTCCCAGTGCTGCTCCAAGTTACCCCAAGGATTGAAGACCTGTGGTCACCAGCGCCTAACCCTTGCCCATCTACGTTTATCTCTTGAAGGATCTTAGCAGTTACAGCTTCTTCTTCATCGGAATCAGAAGAATTGTACGGCATATCTTTTTCGTTCTGGTCTAGTTGTTCCATCATGCCGGGTACCACCTTCCTGAGGAACGCGTTAAGACCTGGTGGAGGATACTCTCTTAGTACATCATCCTCTGCATTCAAGTCCTCGGGCTCGGCGGAGCAGCCAACGTCTTTGGAAATGGACGTCTGACAACCAATACCGTACTCCTTAAAGTCATTGGTCTGAGTGGAAATTTCAGTTCCCGCCTTTTTCTCGGAAGTAATACTATCGAAACCGATAGCTTCCGAGTCGTATCCACTTAAAGACATTTTAATAAATAATATCTTAAAGGATTCTTTACGATTTAAAAAACTTCAATGATGTTTTGTTTATTTTTTTGTTTGTTTGCTGTTGTTATGACAGCGAATATTATCGTAAACAGCGAGTGTATGAAACCTTTTTTTATTTTTCTTTTAAATTAGAGACGGCGCTTTTACTATATAATGAATAAAACTATTGTTGTACAAAAAAAAATTAAGAACGATAGTGAAATAAGACTTTTCGTAACAAAGCTGGCACTTATCTTATCTTCAACTTAAATAATTTTAAACCTTTTCGAATATTTAGCTTAATTTTTGATAATGGCAACATTTACTTGAAACCAGTGTTGCCAATCCTAATAGAATTGCTGTGTTTCTCGGCTCTTTGTTTCGAGACATGAAATATACGGCCTATGGCCTAACGTCGTAGCAATTCTCTGCATTTTATATAATAATCTATTGTTTATCTTTAATTAGCTCATTTTTAAATAACTTCTGAATGATAAATAAAAAAGTCGTTGATTTTTTTTGTCGTTGATTTTTCCCAGGAATAACGAAATTTAAGTAAATACCAATGCTGTTTCATACAAACACGGCTTTTTTACATGATGTACGGCCGGGTAAAAATCTTCATTGGCAACACTGTTATCTGTCAGCAGAAAATGTAAAAAAATTGACATTAAATTATTGACATAAATATTCACATGTGTTGAATTTATATTACTTTAAATGTGAAAAACCATAAAATGTTGAAAGACAAACAATTTGATATCTTCATCGCGAGCCATATCGGATCATTCAAACGTAAGGAAATCATAAAATACAAAATTACATTCAACTAAATATCGTAATTTTTCTATATTTTACCGGCATTTATGAATTACTGGCTATTGCTCGCGACTTCGCCCGCGTGAAATTAAAAAAAACATAGCCTATGTTACTCACAGATAAATTACCCTTCTAACGTTGAAAGAATTTTTAAAAACGGCCCAGTAGTTTTTGAGTTGTTTCAATACTTACAAAAATACAAAAAACCAGAAATATTAATCTTTCCTTTTATAATAGTATAGACAATTATATGCTCATAACTTTTCTGTGATGTCCACTAAGAACTCCGTAATTGGATGAAATTAAATTACTCCTGTGCCTTTTGTTTTTTTTATTTACTTTTTTAATTTTCGATCATGAATTTTTTACCATACTCTCTGATTTCAGATGTCAAATACTACACCGACTTATCAAAGAATAGTAAAAAATGCTTAGAGAATCTAATCGATATTAAAACTTTAGAAAAACAAGATGGCATCACAGCTATGTCATGGAGTGGTGAAGAACAGATAGAAATATTAATGGCAAAGAAAAATGGAGTTATACAATGTTATGATACCGAAGAAGGGAAGTTTATGAAATCCTTCAGAATAGACCTTGGTTCTAAAAGAGTGGTTGGTATCGGACAGAGTCATAGAGTACTGCTTCTCGGTGTAAGCAGCGGTATTGTAAAGGTTTGGACTAACATGAACGAATCCATGGTCTCAGTTGGAGGAAAAATTGATAAAATGAAAATATGTCCGGATGATTTGACATTATTTGCTACAGGTATCTGTTCCCATGCAGTTTTACGACATTTCAAACTTTCAATTACTTTGTCAACATTCAAACGAAGGCTTTTGGTATAGGCTGAGTATAACCTAGCAATGCTTTACTGCTAATGGTTGTAGTTTTTGTCCCTTTCTCACATAGCTTTTTTTCCAATTTACTCACCTAAGTTTCATAACATGAAAACATAACGTAAAGCATTTTAAATGTAGAGTTAATTTATTAAAAAAGAATAATACGTAAATATCTTATACTAGCTTTCACCCACAACTGTGCATAGAATTAAAAAAAACCTATGGTCCTATGTTTTTCCAGACTATCCTCTATGTCTATGATCTGTTCAGCCATTTAGGCTACAAACTCTAAACTTTCGTATTTATAATATAACTTAGAAGTAAGATAACAACAGTATTTACACCTTTTATATTAGTACTTGCTCGCGACTCCGTCTGCATGAAATTAAAAAATCATGCCTTATGTTACTCACAGATAAATGTAATGGTGAAAGAATTTTTAAAATCGCCCCGGTAGTTTTTGAGTTACTTCAATACATACTAAAATACAAATCTTTCCTCTTTATAACACTAGTAAAGATGAAAGTGTGAATATTCCATTTTGTTTATGCTAGTAGGGAAAGGTAAAGGTACAATATCCATTTCCTGTATCCCCTACTCTGTATCTTGTAGTCCAATCCAAAAACAAACATATATCTGTTATAGAAATTTTGTAAAATTCCTTAACCAGGTGGTGAAGAAAATGATTTAAAGGTGTGGCGTGTGGGCGAGACAGAGCCTGTATTCGCTGCAAAGAACAGACCACACGATTGGTTACAACTACGAGTGCCCATTTGGGTGTCAGACCTTACCTTCATGCCGGGACAAGGAGGGAATATCTTAGCTGTGTGCTCCAGATATGGATATGTTAGGTTAGTTTCATCATCATCACCCTGTCTGCCCACTGCTGGACATAGAACTGCCCACCTTCCACAGAATATTCATCTACCTTCCTCATCCAATGTCCTCCAGCCATGTGTAGATGCCCCCCAGTTATGGATTCACCAAAATATCGAAGACTGCTGTCCAGACATCCGCTGTTAGAGATGCGTTACCGTTATCAATGGGGATAACTAAGATATTACTCATGTCCCCTCCCCTGCTAACATTGTTAATTTTTTTCCTTCTACAAAAAGGAACAGGAGTAAAATTAGTTAAGTGTCTTCAAAATAATTAAATCAACCGTTTTTTGTTTTTAAATTCTTGGCTCTTAAATTAGATGTACAGATGTGGTTTATGGATGACTATTTTTAATTATTCTTAATAATTTCAGATTATATGACATAAGGGCACAGAGAAGACCGGTGTGCAATGTGGACTTCCAGAATGGAATGGCTGCTACATGCTTGGAACCTAGCTTTGATGAGAGGTTAGTCTAGATATTACAAAAAATACTAGACTCTGTTTCTAGATTGAATTTCTGTGAACACGCATTCCGTGAACATTTCATCATATTAGTGGGGAATAGTAAGGAATCCTTTTTCTGTATGTCCCCTCCACTGGCCACTAACAATAAGGGCGATGCCAGCCAATTATCTAGACTAGGTCAAAGGCAGCTATGTTCTATTAATAGTTTTAATATCTATTTTTCATTTTTTAAGTCTATCATAATGTCCCTCCCCTGGCCATGCCCATCTAGGGTTGGGAACACAACTTCCCGAAACTTACAGATTTTATCTATTTAAGCCAAATTAGTTATATATTAATTTGTTTTTAACATCATATATTTAAAAAAAAATCTAGACAGTTCAAATATTTCTTATAAATTCCTACTGATGTGTTTTTATCCTTATTTTTTGTATTTCCTAGACAAGTGCTAGTCGGTTTCGGTAGAGGTCAACTCCACCAAGTGGACCTGCGCAGGGGCAAGCCGGATAAGGGTTACAAGGGCTGTGTTGGCGGGGTAACGGATATAGCTATCCACCGGGAGCACAGGCTAGTGGTCACTACCAGCCTGGATAGACATCTCCGGGTGCATAGCTATGATAGCAAGGAATTGCTGTACAAGGTAGGGTACTTTTAGATCTTTTCTCGTTTTTTAACTGCTTTGCTGTATGGTAAAATGATATATTTTTTAATAAATTCAACCAAAATATTAAAAAAAAATTAGATTCTTCCAAAAATTTTAGACTGTTTTAATTTAAAAAAAAAATACTATTTTTCAGCTATATGTAACATCAAAGCCATCTAACTTGCTTCTACAAACAGCAAGATCCACACCACTCCTCAATCCGCCACAGTTTGAGGACAAACAGGAAGAGGATATCAAAGTGGAGGACTCGGATGGGATGGATGAGATATTCGAGGATATGGTGCCAGTGCGGTGAGTAGAGTTTATAAAGTGATTCTTCATTTCTAGACTAGATTAAGTAAAAATTTTTTTCACCGGTAACTTGTTTGAGAATTTAGTTGGCTGTCTGCTCCTTTGTCACTTTACATGGCAATTATGTTACTTTCAATTCGAAATCTAATTATTTAATAATTTTTTACAAAAAAAATTATAATTTGACCTTGTAAATGCTTATTATATAGGCTGTGTCCTTCTGCTTACTCTTACCAATATTATAAATGCGAAAGTGTAGATGGATGAATGGATGTTTGTTAGATTTTTTAACTTAAACTGCTGAAAGGATTTCGTGAATTTTAGTATAGATGTAGAGGATAGTCTGGAATAACACATATACTCGCTTTTGTTTTTTTTTATTCGACGCGTACGGAGTCGTGGCCGAAAGCTAGTTATGTTCTATATCTAGCTCATCGAGATCTGTTAAGCTATTTTGTACTTACGTACCATCCAAACTTTTCCAACTACATAACTATAATATACATTTTCAGTGAAAAACGTCGAAAGAAGGATCTAAATGATGAAAATACAAAATTAGAACCAAAAATAGAAGATACTGAAGATACAAAGCCATCGACAGAGGGCAGCACTGACGTGGGTATAGAGGACAGCGTAGAAGAGAGGGAGGCAAAGATCATGCAGCTGCTAAAGAGCACAGAGAGGCAGAAGAGAAGAATAGAGAAGAGGAAAAGAGAGAAGAAAGCGAAAAGCGTTTTTCATAATGCTTGAATATATTCTTAATTATCATTTTTGTTTTTTTTTATAATATAAGGAGGCAAACGAGCAAGCGGCTACCTGAATCCACCGAAATGTATAGCGACCGCTGCACATAAACATCCGCAATTGCAGCGCTGCCTACCCTTCATTGACGGAGACGCACATAAAGAGGATATTTCCCCTTCCTATGCGTCTCCTCCACCGTCAATCCACTTTTCCTTCCCATCTTTCCCTCTTAAGAAAAGAGTGGAAAGGAACTAAAATTAGGCCTCTGGCACCATACTCATCAGAGTGTACGGGGAATTACTTCCACTTCACAGACAGGTGTCTGTGTGGTCGTGATATTGCTGTGGCGAGCTCTACAGTGCGAAGATGTTAAAGGGGGCTCTACTACTGTTAAAATTTGATAAATGATGCATATGAAGTACCAAATAAAATTTGTATGAAGGCAAATGCCGTACTTAATAGACAGGTATCGTAGTGACGAAACACGCAGCGAACAATTATGAACTATCGATATTCGGTTTAAATAATCATCGAACTCAACTAAATTATTTTTTTATTAACTAATTTAGTAGACAATTTTAGTATTGATTATAGTTTAGAGAATTTAGCGATGACAATAATAATAGTGAAATCTAATTCGATTACGTACAGCTGTAGTAGTAATAAATATATATTTACTCTCATTATTTGTAATGGTTCTGGTCATTATTAATTTGAGAATACAGTATTTTTTTTAAATCATAGTTTATAAATTTGAATCTATCGATTCCAACTTCTATAAGAATAAAAATCGAAAAGATTCATGTTTTATTTTACACAACCTATCCCTACTAAATTATCTAACTAATATTATTTAGACAAACTATAGACCGATTTTAACAGGATTTTTTTTTATAACATAAGGCGGCAAACGAGCAAGCGGCCACCTGAA